TCCGAGTCATAACCCTCATAAATGTGCTAGGTGTATTAGACAATCCAAAAGGCATGACCAACCACTCATAAAGTCCATCCTGGGTTTTAAATGCGATTTTTCATTCATCTCCTGGTCTAATTCGGATTTGATAATAACCACTGCGCAAATCAATTTTGGAGAACCAAAGTGCACCGGCCAAAAAGTCAAGCATATCTTCAAGTTTCGGTATAGGAAATCGATACTTGACTGTAATTTTGTTAATGGCACGGCTATCAACACACATTCTCCAAGAGCCATCTTTCTTAGGGGTCAACAAAGCAGGGACAACACATGGACTAAGATTATGATGAACAGACCCTTTTTGCAACAGTCCAGTTACTTGCCTTTGGAGTTCAACACGCTTAGTGGGATTCATACAATAATGGGGAAGATTAGACAACTGAGATCCTGAAACTAAGTCAATAGCATGCTGAACATCTCTCATTGGTGGCAACTCATCGGGTAGTTCCTCACGAATCACGTCATGAAACTTTCTCAATAGACTATCAACCTCAGGCAAAAGATCGTCTTTAGATTCCAGAGGACTTTGAACAACTTTTTGACAACTAGAGCTACCATCATACCAGACTCTTTTCTCTCTTTCTCAAATTCTCTATGGGTCAAGATGTGAAGGTCTTTTTTGTGAATTACTGGGGAAGATGACCTATGCTTTGAAGTATTACTTTCTGAGAGTTTCGCAGGTTTTAACTTAATGGTTTTTCTCTTATGCTTAAAAACATAAGTATTTTTCCTCCTATAGTTTGTCACTTCTAGATCAAAAAGCCACGGGTGACCCAACATGACATGAGCGACATCCATAGGTAAGACATCACACCATATATGATCTGAATAGTCACCCATCTGAATAGGGGACTAAACATCTATGTGAGACTGGTAAGGAGGTCTTGTCAACCCATGCGACTTTGTAAGGTTGTGGGTGTGTCTTTGACTTAAGCTGCAACTGAGCTATAGCTAATTTAGAGATGACATTCAATGAACTTCCCCCATCAATAACGACCTTGCAAACTCGACCCCCACATTGGACTTGAGTATGAAAAATACTGGTGCGTTTCCATGCTGTTGTGTCTAAAGGGATGGATAAGATACATCGCATCACACTGACACGGGTGTCATCGATTTGCCACTCCTCCTCACCCTCATCTAGTAACTCTAAGGGTTCCTCATTCAAAGGATTAACTTCTAGGTCAACATCCTCTCTGTCAAGTGAATTCTCTAATCCCTGGTCAATGGTCAAGGTACGCTGAGGGCACTGTGAAGCAATATGATCATTGTCATGACAACGGTGACACTCTATGAAAAAACTGTCCTGGCGAGAACCTGTGAGTGTAGAATCTTGACCCCTAGTGGTATTACCTCTCAAGTTGGGGTAATTGTTACCCCTGAATATGAAAGGGCCTGACTAGGTGACGCCTCGAGACCGATCAAATGGGACTAACCTTGATGGTTGAGATTCTCCGAGTTGAGAAGGCATTCGACCCTAAAAGGGTGGCCTAAGGTGTTGTTCAATCTCTAAGGCTTTATAATATGCTTCCTCAACCATTTCAGGAGAGTCTAAGTTAAGCTCTCTCTTAATCTCAGGTCGTAAGCCATTAATGAATTTTGTAACTGTTACCCAAAGCTTTTCGTTCATGTCACATCTCAGAAAGAGCTCTTCAAATCGAGCTAGGTAATCAATCACACTCGAGGTCAATTGATGCAAGTTTATCCACTTGTCCGAGAGTTGGCGTTTATAGTAACTAGGGAGATATTTATCTCGCAATCTTTGTTTCATCTCAGCCCATAAAGTAATTGATTATCCCTCTAGGCACTCTTGGTCTCGTTGGACTCCCTGCCAATATCTCTTAGCCGAACCAACGAGTTTCATTTTGGCAAAACGAACCTGATGGTTGTTGGACATATCATACCAATCAAAATAGTCATCCATATCATCCAACCAATCTAAGAGAGTAACAAGATCTAACCTACCATCAAAGCTAGGAGCGTCCACTTTGACTCTTTGTGTGATATCCCTAGATTCTTCGTGGACATGCCTATGTCGAGAATTATGGTAACGCGGAGGGAGAGACCTATGGTATTTGGCACGTGGGCAGAAGGGCTCACGATAGCCATCCATATCACCCTCTGCTGAATAGTCAGACATGACTACCTCAGCGGGATCCTCCTGAACATTCCTACGACCTACGTTTCGTCCAAAAGCGGTATTAGGAGGTGTCTTCCTATCTGGACGCTGTATTCGGCTCCCCTGAGCTACTTGTGAGTGGGTAGGATACCTTGACATGAGTCAGTAGGATCTATCGAGAGAGGCAGGTGCCGAACATTGGGTACTTGGTTAGACTTAGGTGAAACTTATGACTCACTCTGGTCATAGTCTATTGGTCGTTTTTCCATAAACTTAGTCAATTAGGCTAGTTGAGTAGTAACTTGAGAAAGTTGTTGCCCCATTCCTTTAACTTCCTCACGTAACTTGTCGACTGATTGTTTAGTATCGGTCATATCAATGGTGAGGGTCTCAAATTTTTGTTCTAATGCAGTATGGGATTCTGAAAGCTCACGAAGGGTCATAGTGAATGTAATATAAAATTTGGGCTAATGTAAATGGCCGACTAGACCAAAAATTAAACCAAGTAATAAAAATTATAAATCAATGCAAATGGTCACACATAAGAACAAACTCATTGTAAAGAGACTCAAATAAATGTGAGACAAGCAACAATGAATTTAACAAGAAATTGGGTAAACTAAGTTATGAAGGTGGTGTGTGGGAACAATAAACAAAGAAGGTTATGAAGGTGGTGGTATGCGGGAACAACAAACAAAGAAAATTTAGGTTTTTTTTTTTTTTTGACTTACCAACAAATATAAATACTAGTAACCAATTTTCAACGAAAAGAACTCGTACCTAGTGTTAGATGCAACTCCAAGAGGATGCTTGACAAGTTAGGGGGTGATCCTACAAAGTGTAAAATTTGTTGGGGTGTTTATGTTATTTTTAGAACTTCTGAGGTGATATTTCTGTAATTTTTTGAACCTGTTGGGACGTTTCTGTAATATTGGAATTTATAGATGATACTTCTGCAATTTACTAAAATTTTTGGGGTAATTCTGTAATTTTTGAAAATTTTTGGAGAGTTTCCTGTAATTCTGGAGTTTTATGAGGGTGAAAGGGTTAAAACCAATGTCTTCTTCCTTAACACGATGGAACAAGGAAGAAGATGGGCAACGATAAAGTCGAAGCAGCACAAGTCAACAACGAAAACAGGCGCAATGAACAATAACAATGATGAACATTGCACAATTATTATTATTATTATTTATGGAACGAGACCAGAACAGTGTGCACGATGAAATTTTTTTTTTTTTTTTTTTTTTTATGGAACAAGACCAAAACAGTGCGCACAATGAAATTTTTTTTTTTTTCCTGAACAGTAAGAATCTGCCAAAATTTTTTTTTTTTTCGATGAACGACGTTGTTGAGATTTTTTGTGATTTATACGAATCGAAATTAGGCTCTGATACCAAATTGATGTAGATCGTATTAGAGAAGAATTAAGAATGAGAAGGGAAGGAGAAAGGGATGAGAAAAGAAGAAGAAGGAGATGAAAATAGAAAGAATTTTAGAAAGAAAATTTAATATCAATAATCAATCAAAGTCTCCCAAAACAAATAACATATCTCCTATATATATAGAGAGAGACCACAAATCCTAAAAGAACTCTAAAAGAAATAAATAGTCATAATGACAACTAATCCCCTGAAAAGTATAATGACAAATAACTCTTAATCCTTACGCTTACGTCTACTATAACTAAATATAATCCGATTCCTATCACATAGTGTTTAGAAGCTGGATGAGGGAGAACGAAAGAGGGTTGCAAGAAGGTTGGTTAGTATATTTTCTTGTTTTAGGCCCTTGGTTGTTTTTTGTTGGAAGACAGTGGGAAACTGGGTAATAAGAGTTGATTGGTATGCAGTACAAGTTGATGAAGTGAATGGAGGTGTGAATGGATAGGAGTGGAGATGGTAGGCTGAAATAATAGTCTTACTGCAATAATGGTAAGTTCATTTCAACAAATCAATGGTGCTGTGGAGCTGATTTCTCTTTTCCCTTAACTTTCTGGTTTTCCTGTTGCATTTGTCTCCCCATTAAAGAAGAGTGTTTTTTTGTGTGTGGTATTAACTGTCCCTGTAGTACATATTGCAGAGATGAGAGGTTTTCAAATTTCTGTTCCTTAGGATGATGACAGGCTACTGAGCAACAGTGCTCTCCAACGTTTTGCATGTGAGACCGTCCAGGTTCAAATATATGCACTGCATGGGAAAATTTAATCTCTCTTTCGATCGATCTCGGAAAACAGGGCATTGTTGGGAACAGTGTTTTCTTTACTTAATATAGGGAGTAGGGGGTGGATCACCGCGAGGGTGGAAAGCTTATCCTATCTTAGATGTGCCACCAAGTCCAACTAAGGGTGATAATTTTTGACATGACACAAATAAGAGATGAATAAATGAGTTTGAATTAATTATTTTTTGACATAAATTTATATATAATATAATGAATTGTGTTTGAATTTAACCAGTTTAACCCAAAGTTAACCCATATATTTAATTGGGTCAATACGAACCCGTTAACCTGTTTTAAACCCGAAGTCAACCCACACTAAATATATGACAGCAATTAGTTGTTTTTCTAACCTTAACTTCATTTCACATTTGACACCCACCTCCCTCTCTCGGTCTCCCCCTTCACAGGCTCTCACTCACCACCACCGGCATCCACCAAGGCACCAACCAGGTCAGCGCATGTGGAGAATCCATCACAACTGGTGGTGATATTCAAGAGCTCGTGTCACCTTATGATGTGATTTTTGGCAAACGAAGGTAGGTGGGAGCATGCCTAAATCCCAGTTGACTAATGTTTTGATGATTCTTGACCCCATCTTCTCACCCTTGATCATGGTATTCAATCTCTGCAGAAGCATAAGCTATTCAAGAATGTTACTCATTCGGTAATGAATGGTTGTAGCTCATTCAGATAGCACACCACTACAATAAAACTAGAGTGCTAACACCTTATCACCTCATCCATACAATTCTCCTTTGTATCAAAATATAACACTACTTTGGGTCCCAAAAGCCAAAAATTCCTAAAACTAAACAATGTTCAAAACCATTCATCATCACACAAATCTAGAAGTCCAACCATAATCCAAGCTCAAGAAATTAGAAAGGGAGGGTAGTGGTTTAAGACGGAAAAAAAAATCCAACTTTGCCCATCCGGCAAGTCTTTCCTAGTCCCAACCGGTTGCAGGACCAGAAGGAATAACACCAATTGCAGCTGCAGCTGCAGCTGCAGCTCCAGGAATCGGAGCTGCTGCAGCATCCCATCCATCAGCAGAAACTGCCACTGCATTGAATCAAACACAGGGATCAACCAAAAATCAAAGTGACGAGTCTTTTGTATTAGGCGTATGATAAACATTACAAAAGTAAATGATAAAGCACTTCCAAAAGAAATTATTAGAAAACACCCTAAGCACTGCAAGGCGATAAGGTAGATCTAACATATCATTTTCATCAAATAAGAATGGAGACAAATAATACTACCAGCATCCTGGGGCCAACCAGCATCAACGACAGCTGGAATGGAAGGTGCACCCACATCAGTACTCCATTGCACATCAGGGTTTTGGTTAGACCATTGATCTGAAATACCCCCAAGAGCAGTAGCAGCAGTAGAATACTCATAATCTTGGGCCACTGGTACTTCCTCTTCCTGTGGTTCCTTAGACTCCTCAGGCTCCCTGTAGAAAAATAAATCCACCTGCAAATAGGAAAGATAATCATCAAATGAACAGAACCTCATGATTGCTTAATAGTACAATTGGTCCATCCTCGACTTTTTTCGTCTTGAACTATGAGAAAAAATAAAATCAATCAACTTGAACCAAAACCACATAGAACCAACTTAAACATGGTAATCAACAGCAGAAAGTTCATCAAAATTTAACTGAAAACATATTCTTTCGTGATACAAAAATGCCGGTAGTATCCCATCAGAACTTGAAAATTAACAGCATAAGAATAAAGCATAATAACCCCAATTGTTTAAAATAATATTTACCATCACATCCCACTTATGCCCTTGTGGAATAACACCACGCATCTGCAAAACCATCCTTGCTAACAGCCAAAACAGACAACCAATGCTGTGCTTTCCTTTGTTATTGGCAGGTATACCAATGTCAACATATCGCATTGGGGAGTCGGTGTCACAGAAAGCAATGGTTGGAATGTTCCCTAATGCAGCTTCCTTAATAGGCTGTAGATAGTTTATATACAAAGTCAGTCTGGATCACACAAGATCCATAACGAAAAATAACCAGTTACTCTAAGTATATAAGCATTGACAACCTTTGGAACAAAGACATCTATACATAATGAGCTATCAATTAAACAACAATGATAAATGACACAAAAGCCGACAATTTGCAAAGAGCTACTAACCTGATGGTCAGTTCTTGGATCAGTGAGGATGAGAAGACGAGGCTCACTGAATGAAGTCTGAAGCTGGTTGGTGAAAGTACCCGGAGTGTGACGTCCAGCAATCGCATGGGCTCCAGTGTATTGGGCAAACTTCAAGACTGCTCTCTGACCATAGGGTCTTGCAGACTGAACAATAATATCATGGGGGTTCTCAATCGCCACAATAACCCTAGCTGCCATCTGAAGTTTCTCCCATGTTTTTCCAAGGTTGATTATATAAATACCTGACCAGTAAAGGGGAAAAAGAGGATGGCGGGAGTATCAAACAACACAGTGGGTGTCTAGCATATAAAAATGGACAACCATATGGAGATCACAATAGGACTCTCAATCAAGTACGATTTCACTGGAGCCATCCATGTAGATATTTAAGACTCCAGACAAGGCTTATGAGAATGAATTGACAAGCTTTTGTTTTTGTATAAAAGAAAAATCAAATGCCAGCAATTATATTCATTATTATGGTCCCACAACCTGTTTACTTGACTAGATTTGGGGCAAATAACCATTAAAACATGGAAATTTCTGACACCATCAAAACATTTCACTTCTTTTTTTTTGGATATATCAAGATGGTGCACTTATTTTCACCTGAAACCTTCAAGTTCAATATGTGGAAGCATCATGAATAGCATGTCCACGCCAACTATGCAAAATTACCTCGATAAAATAATGCATGAACAACCCAATCCGTTTATTTCTGCACTAGGGTATAAAAACGAGAGACTAGTGCAAATATAAAATACCTTATATCAAAACCAGAAAAATAAACCCATATAGGTATAACACTATCTCTACAGATATACACACAGGTATGTTTGATTACACTTACAAAAGAACAAATCCAAAAATGCAAACTGAAATAAACCAATGTTGTCAGTGCGTGATTTGTCCAGTGATTAATAACCATAATATAACATTGTATATCTCAGATCTACCATTAATTATAACTATTAAGCTACAAAATCAAAAAAACACACCCAAGACATAATCGAAAAACAGCAGAACAGAGTATTACGTGAAGTTCAACTGACAATCATAAGCACAGATCAAAAGCCAATAACAAATTCAAAATTATAATATCTATATAAACGATAGTATATAAATACCGTCGTTGCGGCGCTTGAAAGCGTAGCGCTCCATCTGGAAGTCGCAGTTCTTAGTGCCAAGGTGGACTTCGGCTGCCAACATCATCTGTATATCGGCCTCCTTCGTCGACAGTGCCCTCTGTGTAGCATTCTCCATTGTTGCTAACCTTCGATTCCTTGTTGTTTGTTTAGGATGTGATCGAGAGAAGAAACCCAAGAACAGGAACTGAGCTGCTCAAGCAAAGAAAATGAGGGGGTTTTTTCTGCCGAAGTGAGTGAAATATAAAGCCCCTAGAACACTGAAACCCTAGCGACTTTTTTCACTTGACGAAAGTGACCCTGGTTTCTGTTGATAATTACGTGGGCTGGTCCGGCTGCAACTGAGCTAAGCCCTTTGTGAACTATTGGGTTGGGCCGCTTGTTTCTAGCCCAACTTAATCCGGCTCAACGTTGTGGAGTTATACACTTGGAACCTGTTTGATGTTAATTTTTGGGAGGGTTTGAAATGGATTTATGAAATCTTTTTAATCCCAGTCCCAAGGATTTGTGCATGGGATTCAAAAAAAAAATTTATTCAATCCCATGTTTGGTAGTTTATATAAATAGATGTGGGATTCATAGATTTATATCAAATCATATTACTTAATTTACTAAGATGTCCATTGTTATGGGAATAGAAGAATAAATTTTAGGGTAAAGTAGTCTTTTATGTTCAAATCCAATCTTTCCCTTTTTGAAACCACCCCCCATGGGTTTCATCAAACACCCCCATTTGTGGGTTTTAATCAACTATTCACTATGGGCGAAGAGTGAACTGGGATTCATTTAATCCCGAGTCTCAAATCTTTAACTAAACACGGGTTTAGAAGGTGTATTGGACTATTTTCACAAAACTCACTACTTAAATCCTATCCAAACTCACATAACAAACATGTTCTTTGCGACATGAATGGTCGGATTCAGATTCGCTCCAATATTTTTTTTTTTCAATTATGTTCTTGACGAATTATTCACCATTAATGAGGTAAGAGTTCACTTGTATACAATAAGTTCCACTTAATGTATGACAAGTGATTTGTCAAAGAAATAATTGAATAGAAAATATATTAGAAAGAAACTTATTCTCAGATGATAGGAATAGTTTGTGAATGACTTGGGAGTGATTCAGATAATTTCTTATTCAAGTTTGTTCAATATAAATGGACTAAATTTGAAAAAAATGTATGTTTTCTTTAGGCTCGCGAATATTTGAACATAATATATGATATGATCTCGATTCTAAAGTTGAACACAAAGCTCCAAGACAATTTGCTTAGGATGGGACTATTCTTACCCCAACAAATCTCTGTTTTCACCCAATTAAACTATAAGTCATAAAACATTTATATCCACCCTATCTATATCCACCTCACTAATAACTAAGTTCATCATATTCTATAACCACCCCATTAATAACTAAACTTATCTTCATCTTTATTTTTAGGGGGTTTTTTTGAACCCCATCTCACATATCTACAAAATATAGTCTACAAGATTATCTATTAAAACTGAACAAATAATTATATATAGACTGTGTGATTTAAAAAGAGAGACTTGATGATCTTTTTTCTTTTTCAAAAAACTTAGCTTCGTATGCAATCTCCAACAAAAACTCCAAGGGATCTCTTTCTATATATAAATAAATTGCATGTGAAGAAAAAAAATTCTCTGCGAATTCCTTCAACCGGTGAATAAGAAAGGAAGAAAGGGAAGAGAATAATAGAATTGGAGTATTATTTCGACGATGAGATTGGAGAAGATAACAGTTGAAGCAATTTATATGAAAGAAACTTAGAGTGGAATTCAATTGAGTATGTATATAGACTATATAAGATGGTTATAGAAAGAAATCAAAAAGGTAAAGATTGAGATAAGTTTTCCTATTCATAAGAGTGGGTATAGAATGAGGTGAACTTAACTATTAGTGGGGTAGGTATAAAATGGGTGAACTTAGTAGTTTTATGATTTATAGTTTAATGGGGTGGAAACGAAAATTTGTGAGGTAGGAATAGCCCCACTCATTCGCTTAATCAAGGAAGTCAAGTCAAGCTCAAGTTTGGACAAAAATTGACAAGTTGTGGCACACCCCAGATCAGTTGAGCATGAGACAGGGGTTACCCCGACCCGCAAAAACATGTAAAAATGTTAAAGTAATCTAGCGTAACGTAAAAAACCAACCCACATCATACAAACTAAAATATTTTGTATAAACATAGGTATACAACATGCATCATAGTCAAGCTGTTACATTTCTTGTTACATAAATACAATCCACTCACATTAGAGTTATATTTATTCTAATTACATGCCTCTAGAACATTTCCTAAACTATATAAAAGTTCCAACAATTCACTATGTACAAGTCTTCTCGTCTTTACATATTTAAAAAGGGGAAAGTAACGTAAGGTGAGCATCAACAACTCAATAGAGTAACTCAATTTCCAAGAAAATGAGTTTGAACATAATATAGTTTAGCACGATTAGGCAAAAACAAAATTATCATTTGATATACATATATAGGTAAAACGTCATTTCATTTAAATAGTATTCTTTAAGTAAAAATTGAAAAGTAAAAGAGAATTTAGAAACATCATATACGGTGCTACACCGGTGAGCAATCATCCTAGTAGACAATTCAAGGTACATACGAATATACGATCCAACTTTTTAGGGGACTTGTACCCCGAGGATGATACATTCCCTAGTTAAGTTCAATAACCAAGTCCGAAGACCAATAGGGCCACCCAGGTATTTATGAACTCAATGAGTACCCTTTGCAACCTCAGACTAAAACGTAAACCCTTTTATCACTCGACCTGTGTACACTTAAGTTTAGTTTAAAAGGATTCCGATATCTCATTTCACACAGTCAAACCAATTATTTTGGACAATCGTGCACTATTGAACTCAAAACCCTAATCCGGATCTGTAATTCCAGTCGAATTTCAATAACCCAATCATAAGATTTAAAACATGCTAGACTTTCATAAATAATGAAAGTCAAAGCAAGTTCGAAATACTTCATTTGATCCAGAATTGAGAAACCCTACCCATCTCGATGATCTAAAATAGCCAAAAATTAAACAGTGTTATTTTTTGATGAAATTCAACCCACATGATCCATTTAACTAATATAAATGCATATAAAATTTGTTTGGAAACAATTACCCAAAAACTAGGTCTAATTGGCCCTGGAGGCCAAAACAATCATTTTATTTCTCATTTTGATCCGATTGTCGGACCGACTTGAGATTTTACTAGGACCTCCACACGGACGTTACGTAACTTTTGGAACAAACCATAGGTCCATTGGATACCGGAAGCACCCTCACTCGTTGTCAGGGTGTCCAATGGTCCTCTTGGCCCACTTCATCTTCTTCCTCAAGAAACCCTAAGTTTCTCATTTTCTGTTTCAGGTACCCAACTTCTCACCTCTATTTCTCACCCCACAGTACACCTAACTCACCTCACACCCCTCCGTGGAACCCCATAGGTGAGACCTCTCGAACTAACCTCTAACATATCCAAATATTGAACCAAAGTGAGAGAAAAATATGGTTTTTTAAACATGGTCAAACCTAAAACTCATGTTTCAACCCCCTTAACAACCTCTAAACTCAAAACTAATGGTGGAAATGGGTTATTTGGGTCCATTTTAGTTTAGGACCATATCCCCCCAACATTAAAACATAAAATTTAACAAGGTTTGATTTTCCAAAACCCTTGAAACCCTACCTTAGTTTCAAACTTCAAACCACCACCAAGCTTCACTTTTAACCCCCCAACAACCAACCTCAAGCCTTAGACTAGGCCAAACCTCCTGTAATCTTTGAACCCGTTTCAAGCCCATTAAAAATCTAACACTTTAAAGTTAAAATTCAAGCATAACCACTTAACCAAATCAAATTCTATTAACACCAATGAACTTCTAGCATCCTAATTGAGCTAGAGGTATACCTTTGATCGTTTGAATAGGCCTCCAAAGAAAACCCAAATATTCAAGTAAGCTTTCTCTCTCTACACTTCTCTTTTATCTCTTTCCTCTCTACTGATTCTATCCTCTCCAGCGATGGGTGAAGACTCAAGACCTTCTGAAAAAGCTTGTGAAGGCTTGGAGAAGAGTGGGGAAGACCCTGCTACCACCAGACAGCAACTCAGGTATGACTGTCATGCAAGGGCAGTTTCATAATTTTCTACAAAATTTAAAAATTAATTTTAAATATTTAAAAAAAAAAAAAAAGCAAATATACATTAAAGTACGTTGTAGAAAATTATTCCTTTAATTTTTGGAATACTAAATAGCCTTCAATTCATCCTCGAATCTCATTCTCGCACTCTTAACTCATTGGTACGTGCTAATCCTACTTTGCTTATTTGTGCTTCCCGGCTCATTTCCTCTTCACCAACCACCTTTATACACCTAGCAAACCTCCTAACCATCTCTAGAACATCTACGCACCACACCAGAGTCATTAGTTCACAATTCGGCTTCCTAATATTTGAACCCCTAATCACACACACCCAAATCTTGATCTGTTTTCTAGTCTCCAAACACCGGGCTATTACAAGTTGGGCTTTTGAACTATGTTTAAAACTCATCATAATCTTTGGGATAGAAATAAAAACTGCTAAATTGAGGTTTTGTCTCATTTTAAAAATATAAAAAAAAAATTATCATTATACTTTCTTTTATATTGGAGGATACTACTATTATTCATCTTACATGGGTAAATATATGTGTTGTTAAATTATTATTCACAAGAAAGGAGGGATACATTTGTTTTACTATTTGTCTGCATAAATGATAATCAAAGTGTTTGTATTTTGGTATAATAGTGTGTGTATTTTGATGTAATAGTGTGTATGTTTTGGTGTATTAGTGTGTATATTTTAATAAAATAGTTAGTGTCTATTAAAAGTTTTCTTATTTTACGAGTTAATGAGTTTAATTCAACCCGTTATAACTCAACTCATTGTAACTCATTTAATATGTGAATTGATAATGGATTGAATTTATTTTAAACCCAATTTAATTTAACCCAGCCCCATAAACAATTCAACCAACCAATTTGCCACCTCTAAGGTAATCCAGGGACGTGTTGTTGGATTTGGACGAATAATAAGTTCAAGCGTCAAGTATTTGATCCATGTGAGTGCCTCTTGAGCATAATTGATACCCGTGTTTGCAGGTAATTGCAAGTATTCGGAGTTTATTCTCACAGAAATAGGTGTTAAGTGATCTTGACTTGATGAAGTTCATCATTATCGGAAAAAAAATAATAAATTATTCAGCTGCCTCCCCTCTATCAAATTTCGTCAAGTTTTGTTGATTTTAACATACAATTAAATAAATTTACCCAAAAAATAACATACAATTAAATATTTAACTTTTCATTATCTATCTATATCTATAACACTAATAAAAAGAAGCTAATATGAAAAACTTTTAATTTCCTCTTTTAAACTTAAATAATTCTACAAAGTCATGTAAATCCTAAACAATAAATACTTGGTGTTCACAAGTGTTTTCGAATTACCTTCTTGGGTTATTCTACCCAGATTAATAGCGGAATGTTAAACATTTCAAATTCCATGAATATGAACAAATATTAGATTGTAGTTAATACATGAGTCATCAAATGGAAGACGAAAAGCCAAACAAAAAACATATGTCTCTTACTGGTGGTTTGGTTTCTCTGGTTGTTTTTCTTCCCAATGGTCTTTGCAATTTTTGGTTTTCATCTAAATTTTCTTCGTAATTTTTCTCTCCCACTTTCTCTTTGCTTGAGTGTATACACGTTTGGGGCTAAATTAACACATTCAAGTTCATTTGATTAAGTATTATCATTCTTTCTTTTCAGAAACAACTTTCCCCATCCCAAGTTTCCTCTTCTGGTTTTTCATGCAGGTATTGCCCATTATCTGTTCTTGCATCTATATATTTTATGTAAATACTATGTGATTGTTTGATTTCTATATAACTTTTGATATATTTGAATAATGTTTGAATATAGAGATTAGTGTAGCATCAAGCAACAGACTAACCGATGAGAGTTCAATACTACAAAAAATTGACAGTTTAAACGAGCCGAACCCGAGTAGTTCAGTTTAATTAACAACCCTAACACTCACCGGTTCTTTAGGAACAATGTTTATAGATTGTTAATTCAATTCTCAAACCAAAACTCATGGTCCATGTTGGTGTGATAATATTAAACAAAGAAAGGAGAATACTTCAGTTCACTTTAGATCTCTTGTGTGTGTGTGTGTGCGCATCTCTCCATCTCTCTCATGTGTCATATGTGTCGGTTGCAAAGGATGGGAAAATGGGGTGTAGTGAAAGAGACAAGTGTTCCGATTTTCACGAAGACTATGGTACAAAAAAATTATTTAAAAGAATTTGTGGACCAGTTACGAGTTTTGTGGTAAAGATCAATTCTAATAATGTTAACATCGATTATAAGTTACCACAAAGTTATAACTCAAATTTTAAAAGTTGTAACAAGACTTAATAAAGCTATAATATTTTTTAGTGTAAATAAATTCAAAAATTTATATCAAAACTTATAAAATTTAGAGGTACGATACCAATACATAAATCTTATTTGCACCAATAGAGAGGTTTTCTTTGTCTAAATTGTGAATTCTATTGAAACTTTGCAAATTGCTGAACTTAAACCTACAGAAAATCAAAAGTAATAGACATTAATATAGAGATATTTAGAAGACTTGAGATTCAACAATCAAGCAAAAGGATATAAAACAAAACAATAGCTATCAAAGAAAGAGGGTAGTATAACTAACATTGAAACTTTTTATTTAATTTCACTCCCTATTTTTAAGTTTGGTCAACGATGCCTTCTAATTTTAAAAGAGGTGCTCCATAAAAAAAAAAAGTATTATTATAGATGCTCTAAGTACTTATATATGTTAATATGTTCATTTAGTTATTTTAATTATAAAAATTAAAACCACAATTATAACTTAACATGCATTATCCACGTGCAAAGCACATATGCATCAGCTTAGATACCATATATCTACACACCACTCGAAAATGCAACAAAGACTCAAGAAAAAGTAAAAAAAATAATTACGAGTGATAATGGAGTCATGTCGATCGAGTTCATGTCACATCATTTTAAATTTGTATTGAATGTTTGTGAGTTCTAACTCTATCAATTTAATTAATTATATCGGATGTCGTGATATTAATCCGACTTATTTATTATCTTTTCAGTTGATTCGCATGATCCTCGAATAAAACACCAAAAACAGTCAAAAATCCTATTGTCTTTTATAAACAATACCTAATAAAAAAAATGGTAAAGTATGAGATATTATTCATACAATACCAATTAAAGGTAATAATCATGTCGAATTTGGGTTATTCATATTTGATGCTAGCTCAACTGATTTCATCTCTTGGTAGTAGATCGTGTCTTTTTTTGGTTCATGTCTAAAATTAATTAATTCTAACACACTAATTTCGTATCAACTTCGAATCGTGTTAATGTACTGTGTTCAAAATTACCACCCTTAATTTGTCTTTAGTATTAACAGACTCAAATGATAAAACAGTTTAACTCATTGAATCTATCAAATAAATGGATCAATACGAATTAGACTAAACACATACAAATCCAATTAAAACATATATTATAAATGATATAAACTTGAGATGAAATAACCTTTATTATACATAATTATAAAAACTTGTATATATAAGGAATGAATGTCAACTGGACAGTATTTGAAGTTAGCCGTTGACCTAACGACCTCCATTATATCTACTGTTAAACCTTAGGTTATGGGTTCGAATCTCGTCGTCCCTCTCTTATGTAATAGTGTTTGAGCAAAAAAATTGGACACTACTTGGCACCCCTTAACTTTGATATCGTACGAGATACGACATCAAAATTTATAATTTTTGTGATGCACCAATCAAGTTTTTGGTGTCTATTTACCTGTAAAAACATTAAATATTAATCTTAAAATGTTATGAGTGATTCTAAAAAAATTATAACTTTTAAAGTCATGTTACAACTTTATAGTTCAAGTTATAATTTTTTGTAGGCCAAGATACAACTTTTTAGGGTTTGCGATTGTCCATAGTAATTTTAAAATCGATCATAAAATATTATTACTGATTACAAATATTTAGGATCGATCATAAAAAAATATGAAAAGTTATAAGTGATCTCGAAATTTATTAAAAAAGCCTCAAAATATTAATATGATGGTACTCTACCATCTACTTTTTATTTTTTTTTGGGTTAATTATAAATTACACCCTGAAAAATCACTCGAATCTCAATTTATACTCTCAAAAATTAAAAATCTCAATTCGCACCCTTAAAAATAGAAATTTGTATCAATATGCACCCTTAAAGATAAAAAATCTTAATTTACCCCCTTAAAAATAGATATTTGTATCAATGTGCACCCCCAAAGATAAAAATTCTTAGTTTGCATCCTTAAAAATAGAAATTTGTATCAATGTGCACCTAAAACTAATTGATAAATTATACCTAGATCTCTTATACTTGTCACTTAATCATTTGGACCTCTTCACAATATTACTCCTACATTTCATGACGTTTGTGCACATGCAACAAGTAATCCCTTTTTGTTAATATCTGTTAATATAACTGTTAAAAAATATGATCATATTTTAATAAAAAATTATAATTTCATATTTTTCTTTATTTTATGGGTTCAATATACTTTAAAATTTAAAATCAAGCTTACCATTTGAATATCTAACAGAATAAAGGGGTGCACATTGAGTGATATATTGCATTGGATATAAAAAATATTATATAAATATCTACATTCTATTGAACATTCAAATAGTAAGTTTAATTTTGAACTTTAGAGTATATCGGACCCACAAAATAAATGGTAATATGAAATTATAATTTTTTATTAGGATAAAATCATATTTTTTTAACGATTATATTAATATACATCAACGAAAAAAGGTTATATGTTATACGTGTATAAACACTATGAGATGCAGGAGTAATATTTTAAACGTGAAGGGGTCCAAATGATTAAGTGACAAGCATAAGGGAATCTAGGTATAATTTATCAATTTAGTTTTAGATACACATTGATACAATTTTCTATCTTTGAGGGTATAAATTAATATTTTTTATCTTTGAGGGTGCATATTGATACAAATTTCTATCTTTGAGAATACAAATTTAGATTTTTTATTTGGGGTGCACATTGATACAAATTTTTATTTTTGAGGATATAAATTAAGATTTTTGATCTTTGAGGGTAAAAATTGAGATTCAAACTATCTTTCGGAGTTAACTTGAAATTAACCCTTTTTCTTTTTGATTACCATGCCTTTTGTTTTTATTTGACAAATTATACTTTGACTCTCTAAAATATGACTTTTTCATATTGTCCCTTGAACTATCTTTTATTTCACATTATATACTAAATTATGTGATCAGTTTCACATCCCGAAATAAGAACATCCATTACAAATTTATTAAAAAATTATTATACTTTATCCCCCGAATTATATAATTTTTTTTTTTACTTTTCCCGACATGTTGTCAGTTTCTATCCAAAAAAAATAAAAGATGCAATTGGAGTAATGTAAAATAATTTTTTTTTTTTTTAATGAACAAAAACAAGGGAATATATACATATTTGAATCTAAAAATTTAACATAATTTGTTACTCTAATGACGTGGTTTCATTTAAATTATTGAATAAATACTAAGTTTCAATATTTGATAAAGTTCACAATTAATCTAAAAGTCATAACGAATTAGATTAATAAATTAGGCCAATAAATTATATTTCAATAGCGTTGCTCAACTAACGGCATAGGCAATTGACATAACGTGAATAATTCATAATATAAAAAATAATAAACATTGTGCAAAAGAGGAAATGGTACCCCAGGCGTAACCTTCACTGCTTGACGCCCGAATCGTATGAGGTAACTGCCACACATGATGTGTCTGGAGGAAGAAGAACAAGACGACGAAGAAGAAGAGATCGTCATCGAGCAACCACGCCGATCCTTCGCAACTCCTAAATTAATATCCATGCCTGAATAAATCTATACATTTATACATATATACATATATATATATATATATATATATATATGTAGAGAGAGAGAGAATAGAAGAGCAGTTAGGTCTTTGGGAGAGAGGAATGGGGAAGGGGCCTTTATCGTTTCGCCGGACGATCATACGTCGGCGGACGAGAAAGCCGGTGGAGGCTACACCGCAGAGTCCTCTGTCACCGAATAATGGAGTTGCTGCGGCGAACAATAACTCGATCTCGGCGATGGTGGCGGCGGGGGCGTCAAGCAAGCCGGGGAAGAAGAAGGCTGGTGGGGCGAGGCTGTGGATGAGGTTCGACAAGTCGGGGCAGTCGGAGCTGATCGAGTGTGAGAAGAGTACGATCATCAAGCGCGTGTCGGTTCCGGCTAGGGATTTGAGGATTCTTGGCCCTGTCTTCTCTCACTCCTCCAACATCCTCGGTATTCAACATCACTGCTCTCTCTCTCTCTCTCTCTGAGGATCAACATAAGTAGGCCTTGTTTATTTGTTGATATAATTCTTTTAACTATGCCTGACCCATTGGAAATGGTGAATATGAAAAATACGATCTTGAATTGTAGTGTACCAATTACTGAGATATAGTTCGCGCTGGTCTTATCAGTCATGGTGCAGTGGTAACTGCCGTAGTAGTTGTAGTTGAATTTTCTGGTTCAATTATCATGCCATGCAAACATCAAAACCATTTATTTGTCAGCATAAGTGTTTCCTCTCTTCCCACCTTGATTTTTGGTAATGGAATCAGGAGTGGTGTGCCTGTGCTGCATTATGGTACGGCTTAGCATCTAACGCATCCGATCAGTCTTGAAATGAATCCTGTTCTACCTTACCAGCCGGTTTACACTGCTGGCTTTAATCCGGATTGGTAGTGGATATGTTATTATGTCACCAATCCACAAGTTGATTGTGGGAGTGCCCCTCTGATTCAATGGACTGCATACCTTAAGTTCCTTTAAGTTAAGCTTTATGATTTGTGAAGTGTCTGGTATGTCATAATGGCAAAAACGATGCTCAACAGTTTTTATTGATATTCAAGTTTGCTATAAACTATTTGGGCATTGTGGTTAGAAATTTGTAATGCTTTCGACAAGAGCATAAAAATAAATTCTTCACTGGATGATACAAACATGTTGGAAGGAAGATATTTCTTTCCTGCCAAACAATGTTGAACATGCTGCCATTTCCTTGGTGTGATTAGAGTATTATCTGTAACCATCTTGCTCTTCTGTATATACAAACAAGCCCTTGCCTTTTGCTTGTGGCCACTGTGATCGAAAAGGCATAAAAATTGAGTTGCTTTATAGCATCAGATGATCTTTATATTACATAGGCTTGATGGCAGCCTTTTTGGTGTGCTTAGTTGCCTTCTTTTAGAGACAGTAAATAAATATGCTAGTATTCTCCCATCTGCTTCATGCTTTCATAGACGTGAAATCTATCAGTTGTAAGTATATTGGATGTTTCTTGCTGTCCCTCCCTCTGAATTTTATCTACTGTTTGGGTTCTCTATAGCAACCACACATATAGTGCTATTTTATGATATAATTGAAGATTTTGCTCTCCTTTTCAGCCAGGGAGAAGGCCATGGTTGTCAATTTAGAGTTTATAAAGGCTATAGTTACCTCTGAAGAAGTGTTGTTGCTTGATCCTCTACGCCAGGAAGTTCTTCCATTTGTGGATCAGCTTAGGCAACAACTTCTTAATAAAAGCCCTTGTCAGATTGATGGAGCAGGCCAAACAGTTGTCCAAGATAATGAAATGCGTTTTCCAACTGCTGGACAGAGGTTACCTGTTCGTGAAACTGTTGAAGGTTTGCAGGCCGAGCTTCCATTTGAGTTTCAAGTTCTGGAGATTGCGTTGGAGGTTGTTTGTACCTATTTGGACACCAGTGTTGCAGAACTTGAGAGAGTTGCTTATCCTGTCTTGGATGAACTGGCTAGGAATGTCAGCACCAAGAATCTCGAGCGTGTGCGTAGTTTGAAAAGCAATCTTACCCGTTTGCTTGCACGAGTGCAAAAGGTATCATTTATTATGGCATTTTCTTTTTCCTTTCCTTCTGTATTTTTTTTTAACATAAAAAACCTGTTATCTAGTACTTATGTTAGTTCCTTTATAATATTCCTAATGCATTTGTTAGTTATTATGTGTCGCTTTGGATGTGGGAACAGGAGGAAAGAGGATATTTGGGACTGTTTTGTCTAATTGTTTCTTAATATTGATTTAGGGATGAAACTCGTTGGAATAGAAATGTCAATCACAGGCCAAAATTTTATAATGGACTTTGTGGGCAAGGGCATCTTAAGGCATGCCCACAGATCAGGCTATTAAGTTTTGAGATGTCAGATGTCGTAGCTTTTGGTTATTGATACTAATCTTATTAAGTACAGAGTCAGACTGATGAACCCTGTGAGATACATACTTCATACTTGTACTTTTTTTTGGCACTCTTGGTTAACTTATCTTGTACAATGACCTCAATTACCTCAATTGAGTAACTGGTGGAGCTAAATCAGATTCAGTTTCATCATGAATGGATTCCGATATAAGATTGTGGGGACTATGTTTATGAAGTTTCAGTATAAATTACTATCTTAATCATAACTAGTAGTTAAAATACTATAGAGATTATTTTTATTAACATTGACTAAACGTCAATTATAATGCCCGCAATTAATCATGTCTTGGGTACATGGAATTCTACTGGAATATAAAAAAGCCTTTGAATACTGTAAACTTTGGTTGTACCATGTGCTAGTTAATTTTTACTAGTCTTGCAAGTGAAAGGAAAAAAACTCACTGCTCTGGTAATTGATTTTTGTCGGGACCTTAGATACTACTGCAACCGTGACTTTGACTGAATTTGTTGTGCGATCTACACCACTTCCACCGCATCAATAAAATATCTTGAATCTTCTTGTCGGGGATGATGATTTGTCCACTGTTCTTTGAACATGCCTTAAAGTACGTCCTAGTGAGGTTGTTTGTATATTAGTCTAAACTTTCAGTCTCTCTTTCCGATCTTGCTTTTACTTGTTGATCATCATTCTGAACAAATCAGCGTTTTAAATGTATTTGCCCTTGAAGCTGTTGTGGTTGTTCAATTTTTTATGATAGACTTGAGTCGGTAGACCTGAATCAATCCCAGCTGACTTGCACTGCTACAGAGTTGTTTACTGAAAACAATACTTTCTTTTTTGGCAGAAAGATCAAACATCATTAGTATTTAAAAAGATCACGTAGAGGAAGTTTCAAATGGCTGCTTTGTCCTATTATATGCCTTGGAAAATGGTCGGAATTTCCACAATTGTGATGACCTTATTTTTACAAAGACGTCAATATGTACTCTGAATGGCATTTTGGATCAGCCATGCATGTCACTACATATAAGGGACCTTTATGGGTCCCTTCACATGCCATTGAGTGTGGATGCACTTTTAATCGATGTAAGATAAGTTTACTCTGTTGTCTAATCTGAGCATCCATGTAGTTTGTCCTAAAATATCCGCTATGGACCTTTTTTTGGTGGGATGATCTTCTGATTTCCCACCGATAGGAATGACACTGATATCATAGTTGTGCAATATACATACTTAAAGGTTCAATGTTAAACACAAGAAGAGTTTGAAAATGTTTCCCCTTCTATTTTCAACAAAACTTTTACTTTTAGCTGGCAGGATTTTCAGACTCTTCGTTGCAACGTTCAAGTGAAGTAATCCCCTTATAATTGTTAATCTTTTTGGTGCAAAATTTGAGCAGACCTTTTATTAACGTATGTTCCATGTGTTGTGGGTTTACTCATGTCATTCTTATTTGGGGGCAAATATGTCTGCTGTTAGGTAAGGGATGAAATTGAACATCTGTTAGATGACGATGAAGATATGGCACAGTTGTACCTAACACGGAAATGGATTCTTAGTCAGCAATTTGATGCCTTGTTGGGGGGTACAGCTTCAAATAGCATCACCACGGCTGCACCTCATCTTCGTCGGCTCAGTTCAAATAGGAGCGGAAGTTTGGCAACGGCCAACCATTTGAATGACCAGGATGTGGAGGATCTGGAGATGTTACTTGAGGCTTATTTTATGCAGCTGGATGGCACTCGTAACAAGATATTGTCTGTGAGTATTTTTCTTCTTGATCACAGAATGAGTTATGAATTATCATGAACTTTTTTATAGAATAAAATTATAGTATTATGTTATGGGTGTTAAAATTAGGTGATAGTAGAAGTCAATATTTTTTGGGAGATAATGTTCTTTTTTCAGTAATAGATGTACTGTTTATTAATTTCTGCCTTACGTATCAGCTGCTAAATTCTTTTTCCAAAGCTTTTTTGGTGCTACTATAATATATCACTACACTTCTATAAGAGAGAGCATAAGATGATTTTTTTTTGTTGCTGCATAAAATATCCATGGTACCACTGTTTTGTCCCTCTCTCCGCCGACCATATCTCGTCCTCTCCAACTGCTTATAGCCACCACAGGGTTAGTGCTGTCTTTGTCTTCTTCCACTTCCATATCTCTCCTGCTCCCTCTCCCTCTCCTTTGCAACCACACACATGGTTGTACTTGTGCAGGACCTTGGATATTGATTGCGGTGTTATTCATTGATCAAGGAATATATTGTTGTGAATTTGATGAATTGTAGGATAGTTTTGAAACAGGCAAAGGCATTTGATTGCCTTTTTATTTTCTTTTTTGTTTTTCTCTATTTCCATTTTTCACAAGAAAACAAGGTATTTGTTCTATTGTACCTCATTATCAGCGTTATGGGTTTGAGTCCAAAAGCTGTAGCATTTTCTTTCTACTGAGACACACACTGCTTCAAATCCTAGAGAAGTAGACCTAAGAAGTTTTGATACGAGAATTTCAATAGATGAATAATGTGTTGGTGAATATGGGATGGCCGTGTCTCCATAGTCATTGCTTTTTGTAACTCTTTATTCTGGATAAATTGCTCGTTGTTATTTTGCATGGTAATCATCACCTTCTGTTAGTTGAGCTTGACATTTTCTTTTTCTTGTGGAACCTGCAGGTTCGGGAGTACATTGATGACACAGAAGATTATGTCAACATCCAACTTGACAATCAGCGAAACGAACTTATTCAACTACAATTGACATTAACCATTGCATCATTTGCAATAGCAGTGGAGACTCTAATAGCCGGTATGTTTGGCATGAATATCCCCTGTCCATTGTACAGCATTAATGGGATATTTGGCATCTTTGTGGGAGGAATTACAGCTGCTTGTGTGTTGCTTTTTCTGCTTGTTCTAGGATATGCCAGATGGAAGAAACTGCTCGGGTCTTGAACCCCCCATACTGGCTATACCTTTGTTCTAAATATTAGAGATCTAACATTTTTCCTTTGCATTCTGGGAACTTTTTAACTTAAATAACTGAGTTTCTAGGCAGTATCTAATTGCTTCATGTGTGTTATTTAAGTGCATCATAGTCGACGACACAAGATATTCCAATGGCAACGAGGTGCATCCCACACGCATGTGGGCACGGTTTTTAATCCTCGTTGTTGCATGTTGAATCTTGACATACCCCAAGTGGCATATAGGAGTATGAGCATTACAAAAGATATGATTTTGTATTGCTTGATGTTCTGTTTTTTAAGTATTTATGTGCTTTTTTATTTGTTCTTTTATTCTTTTAAGTAATTTTAAATAGCGCTCAAGTGTAAGTCTTGATGCAGCATTTCGAATTATAGAAACAATTTCTTTGCACCTAGAGATAAGAATGCAAACAGTTTAACTCTTCTCAAACTTGCAATGGTGGAAATCTCGGGTACTGGATTTTACCAATTTTCAAGCGAGGTTTGTTCTCCATTTATTTTTTTGCTTTTCCTTTGTTTGATTTTTTCACAAGTTTAGTTGCATAATGTAGAATTTTATATGCGAAGATATGATTAGGTTAAGAAATAATTGCATTACATAGCTGATGTGGAACGGAATTGACAATTTATACATCGTTATTTTATTTTATTATTTTATTAGTAGTACATTAGACACATGTTTTATTTGTTTTTAGTAACTTTTTTAAGATTAGGAATTTGGGTCCGTTTTGAAATCTTTAGGGGTTTGAGGATTCATATAAATTGTCGTATATACTAAGAGTTCAATTCAGTTTATCCAATCATCAATAATATTTCAGAGCATTTTTCTTTTCTTTTCTCTATGGATTCAGGGTGTATGTTTTTTGTACGAATGAACAATGATTCTCTGTCTCCGTTTGTCGTTGCGTCAATAATGACATATATAGTATTATTCAATTGTATTTCTATGAGCATATAATTTTAAGATATGATTAGGTTGAAAAATAAATTTATTTATCCAATTGAATATATAATAATTTATGATGATACTCAAAATATGGCCAAGTTTGAGTTCGAGCGTTCAGTTCGGACCTTCCTAGCTTGAATCACGAAGTTCATCACAGATAACCGAGGGAGTTTAAGTCGATATCTCCTCTCCAACAACATCTTCACGAGAATAGTAAGGATGACAGTTGACTTTTACCGAAGTGTCACGCATAAACCATAACAGTCTTATATTTAGTCAAGGAAGTTGCAACTGCTTTAGCACTATCCATGACAATCACATAATAGGCGCAATTATTACAAAGAGGAGGTAAGGATCACGCTAAGGGATTAGGCAAGGCCTTGGAAGACTATAAATAAGAGGCATAACCCTCACAACAAACAACAAGTTTAAACAAATACTCAGTGTAATTCTTTCATTTTTATCAATAAAATCATCTCCAGGAGTATGAGACTCATTTGGGAGTGAATTAGCTGAATTTCAAGTTTGTGAACTACTATAAACTCTGTTTGCAATTCCCGTCATATTTGTTCAATTCTTAAGAGCCAAAGAACTCTGATGGAGTCTTCCAGTGATTCTAAGTACAACTCTGCTCAATTGTGTCACACACACACCATCCTTATACATGTGTATAAACTTGTCATTTATATATTAAGCTAACATTTCTGTTCTTTTATTTTCTTAGTCCACATTTGTTTTTTAACTCCAAACTTGTGCATAGGTATATATTAGTGCACAGGTGAATTTCTGCAATTAATAGAGATAGCGATCCACTGAATGATGAACCTAAAACAATCAAAAGGTTAGGAAAAGGGACAGGTGAACACCCGGCTAATTCCCTCCGAAGCTTAAGTTAGTCGGCGTTGGAGACCAGCACAATATATTTTTTTGTTTTGAATTGCATACCTTTGTTCATCTTTCTGAAGGATATTTATACCTGAACTAATAATGATTAGGGAGTCTATGAGTCTCATCTCAGCATTTAATAGCTGACACTCATATCCAAGCGTAATGAGTGCGATTCAATCAAATCCCCTAAAGGTTGACCCCTCGGGTCCCCCGAGCATTAAAACTCCACCTTGCCGATCATTTGAGAGTCTCAGCTCGGTGCTTGATAGTTATGCCCGAGCCTTAACTGCTCGAGAATAAGCACCACAGGCATTGCCGAGGATAAAGGATCGATGTAATAGCCATTAATACTTTGTAATTATGACGGGCTCTGTGGATCTCAAGGACACAAAAGTTCATTAATAGTCCTGTCAGTCATTTAAGTCGTCTTTAATAAATAGTCATGTCTTTTAAAATACTGGATTTAATTGGTGTATGTTCAGCTCTTCTAGGTCATAACTCTTCGGCTCCTTCTCCTAGCATCCTTAGAGGTCCATAACGATTATAACTGTCCACGTATCAACTTAGAGCTGCTGAACCGCCGAAAGACACGAGAACTAGTCATGTATAAAACTATCATTTGCAAATTAAGATTATATTTTTGTTCTTTTCGTTTTCTTTGTCCAGGTTTGCTCTTTTACTCTGTTTAATCGCATGGATAGTATACATATGCACATATATAAACACAACATTTTTTTAATATAACCAAGGAAAGTGTAAATGTGTCGGGTCAGATCCACTCATTTACGAAATAGGTGAGTTAAGAAAGATCCAAACTTATTAACTTTATATTGTGTTCATGTCATATTAACGGGATTCATATCCCCTCCATTACCTCTTCTCTTCAATTTTCTTCAATACAGTGTTAGATGAGTGGCATGTGTAAAATTCAAATTTTCAAAGAATAAGATTTTTTCCTTGTAAAAAAATTCCTTAATAATGGTTAACATCCAACAACAATAAAATAAATGAGGAAACATGTTATTCATTGAAATTCAAAATCTTACACGTGTCATTCATCTAGCAATATATTGAGAAAAATTGAAGGGAATGAGTAATAGAGAGAATCTAAATCCTTATTAACGTATCGTGTCATATTTTGAATATCTACTTTCCCGTAATATGTGGAATTAAAATCATCTTTATTGACATTGGAATTAAGCATGACAAGAGTACCCTTAATTAGGTTTGGATAGAATTGTGAAAGGGTAATTTTTTATTTTTTTTTTCATTTTCAACTTTGTACCAGGCATCAATACCTAATTCAATTATAGAATTAATACTACAATAATAGACTCACTTCTTATTTCAATATTAATCCCAAAATAGTATACACAGAATAATGTAAGATGGAATCGTATGAATTGAACAAAAATCAATTGTAATCTTATCTAATTTAATTCTTCTATTTCGGAACGAAACAACCCCTATTCATTTTTGACTTATTTCTATTGGTGTGATTATACGATACAAAAAAACAACGGTATTGTACTAAAAATTTTTTTTTTTTTTTAGATTAAATTATACTTTTTAAAAGTAAAATTATAATTGTTTGAAGTAACTTCATGATCGATTGATCATCACTTTTAACTTCACCTCTTCTTTTTTTTTTATAGAAATGATTAAAATTTTCATTGATTAGAATAAAATACATCATTCTAAATGAGAGGTATTGCAAAAGAATCACACTCCTCTCTCCATAACCAAAGGATTCATACAATTTTTCATGTAATTAGCTAAACAATTTGCCACCACATTTCTTTCTCTGCGAGTTCATGAGATTGAATAGTCCTCGAATCCATTTACTAGAGTGTTAGTTTGATCAGTAAATTTACTTACTTCAAATAAGTCTGATATCCCTGTCTTCAGTGCATCTGTAACCAACTTGGAGTCACCTTCAAGCACTAATCAGTAGCTATCTTGATCGCTGTTGTTGCTGTTAAGGCTTTCACATGATCAGGTTTCAGTATACCTTGAAGCCTTTGAGAATAACCCAGAACAAGTGATTCAGTCCAACCTCTAACAACGACGCCTACTACTGAGTATCCATTCGATTCAAACACATCCCCGTCAAATTTTATTTTGTGAACTCCCATGGGAGGAGCAGACCAGTTTATAACTTTTGAATTTGAGATTTGTTGTGTAATTACATCATCATTCTGACTGAGTCGAATTGACATAAATATTATTGATGTTGATGATGATGTATTTAAGTTGCATTTAGAGCCAAAAACACCCAACGGGCCTGTTGAAGGATAATCCAAATGGCCCATTTATATGACACCCGCCATGGCCCGCAACCCAGGCTGTGGGACCCAAGGATGATCCAACTCGGGACATATATACCAGCTCGGTCTTAACAAGCTCGACGGTAGGGACCTGCTCACAAAGAAGGAGTTAGGTGTAGGGCAAACCTCGATTAAACTTGGTTGCACCACGTGGCCAAGGGACGGGGGAAAAATGTCTGACAACTCTAATTATTTTAACGAACAAATATTTCCTGGCAAAGGGAATATTACATACATTTTGTTTCAAGGCTCGTGGATGCAGAAGACGTCAAGTTGGCAAACCCAATTATAGAACAGAAGAGGAGGGGACCATGAAATCAGCCAAAAAAAAAAAAGAATTGTAAAAACTCTAGATAGTTAGTTGTATAAATAGAAAACGAAGTCACGGTAAGAAAGAGAGAATTTGATAGTTTTATCGAATAGGACAACCTTGTAAGAAGAGGCTCACAAAAAAAAAAAAAAAAAGAAGCGTGTTGTAATCATTATTTTTTTTTCGAGTAATACAATTTTTCCCCTAAAAACAAAAGTCTCCATTACAATAAATATAGTCTTAGTCTTTCAACCGAGATAAACCACTTTAATCTTATTTTTAGTCTAACCATAATATTTTATTTCGCTATTGTTCTAAGTATTCATAGAGTCTTCATTGGGCTTAACCCCGCATTGGTTCTGGAGTTGGGTAGAGCAACTTCGAGCACCATCAGTTTTAATGTCTATTCTCTACTGTTTTATTAAAAAAAAAAAGTGAAGCAAAAAAATAGTTATAAATTTTAAATCGTATATGAATATTATTTGTTTGATACTATGATTGGTTGTATCGAATATAGTTCGTATTTCTTTTCGTTTTGACATGTAGCCATTCATGTTTTAAGATTATAACTACAACAAAAAATTCAAATGTATGTAAATCACTCACAAATTACATACATCGATAATATTCGATTTTATGGAACACATTCATGGAATAGAGTTAGACAA